GGGCTTAGGGTTTAGGGTACTGAAGCCCTAAACCCTAAGATTGTTTGCAAAGTCAGTGTACGTTCGGCAGCCCCGTACCACTTGCAGCCTTACAGAGGCAACAAAGGCCGGTGACATCTGTCAGCACAGGGCTGGTTGCAAATGTATGTACTATGTGAGCTACGAACAAAATCTAGGTTGGGGGGGACCTATAAGGGACTTTATAGGAATTTGGGGGGACCTATTAAGGGATATACTGTACTACAAGTTTAGTCCAGGGTCCATGTACTCAACCTACCACACACTCCACATCTCAAACCTCCAGTCATAAGCTATTTCTACCAACAGGGCTATCATAACCTTTGTGATCCTAAAGCCATTCCTCTGAAGCAACAAGGCACTCCCCCCATAATTCCCTTTGAAAACTTACTTACTCACAGCTTTGGAACTTCTGGTTCCTCCGAATTTATCCAGGCAGAGATGTCCAGGGGTGGTCTCAGTGGCAACTCCCATGCCTCCGAGAAGGTGTCGTCACATCTCCAATCCTCATAGATGAGTGGTTGCAGGCCTTTCCTTGCTGCTTCTCCCAATCAAAAATTGAAATTGTGGTTTCCCAAAATAGGGAGACCCCAACATAGACCCCAAAATACAATAATCCTCGTCATAAGAACACCGAAAAAGTACCCCTAAGGTTAGGAATCCCCAAAAGCGACTGGTAACAACACTGACATTACCAGTGGTTGCCCAGTAATTGCCAGCTTCAAAATGCAGAAAACATGCGTTAGACGGTAGACGGAGGAAATCTTGAGCCACTTAGCAGCCTGTGTATACTGCAATACACTGTAATGCCTACATTCCCAGGGTGTGAGGTATTTTGGCGGTGCAAGATTTCCTCCATTCACCCGATGCTATTCGTCTGCGGGGCCCCCTTAAAGGGGGACATGGGGCTTAGATTGTAGGGCTCAATATCTGGGATTCAGGGTCTAGGATCTGGGGTTATTGTTCGTGGCTGTTAGTCCAGCTTACACTGCGTTGTGGGTGGGGTCCCTAAACCCTAAGCCCTTGTCCCTGCCCATAAATAGCCTAGTCCATGAGCTAATCCTCCTAAATCCCCAAACCTAAGCCCTACACCCTAAAACATAAAGCCTACCAGCCGTCAAGGCCCAGGTTTCCCCCTTGCTGGAGGCTGCCGGAAGAGCTTCAGCGCTGTGAGCGACCCTCCTGCTGCCAAGAGGTGGACCTCAGCCTTGTTGAAGGTGGCCACCTGCCAAACGCTTGGAGTTTACTGGGTTGCTGTTAAGGAACTTAAATTCAGTTACCATAATGGGTATATATAGTAATTAATATGGTTCCCCCCAAGATAGTAACTTAAATTGAGTTCCTTAAGAGCAGCCCAGTTTAGGGCTTAGGGTTTAGAATTTATGATTTATGGTTGGGGTGGCCACCTGACATGGTCATGTGGGAGTTTAGGGTGTAGGGTCTAGGGCTTGGGGTTTAGGATTTTGGGCTTAGGGTTTAGGGCCGAATTCTATAATATGGGGATATCTAGAGGTTACATAGAGATATGAGGGGGTGGATTTGGGTCTAGTGTCATGGTGCGCGGTTCCAGAAATTATGTTTGCAGTCAGGATCAGGATCTATATCGGCTATAGGTTTAGGTCTTTCCCCTACATCTATTTTGGGCTATCTCAACCTTTTGGCACCACCCCCCAAAAAATAAAATGGAACCCGAAAATGGGCACCAGGATAGACTCGTATCCTTTAAAGAGGGGCCTATGTCAGGTTCCATGCTATTTTGGGAGAGGGTGCTACCCTAAACGCTGAACCCCAACGCTCCGAACTGCTGGCCCCGAGCCTCAGACCAAAGGACTACATGAGTAGTCTTTTTTTTGTGGTTAAACCCAGTAAGATTATATTCCTTATATAAAATACTATACCCAAAAGGAGGACAGAATCTTACTCTCTATTGGGTACCATAGTATCCCCAAAAAAACTACTACTCACATGAATCCGTCCATCCTAGCTTTTTGAGTTTGGGAGTTCAGTCAAGGATTTATATAAGGAAGGATTCAGGGCTTAAGGATAAAGGGTTTAAGGATTCAGGGTTCAAGGATTCAGGGTTTCAGGATTAGGGATTCCAGGGGCTAGTGCTTTGGCGTTTAGGGTCTCAGAATCTAGGGTCTAAGGATATGCGTTCAGGGTTTAGGGGTCTGGTTTGGGGTTTAGGGCTTAGGGTTGGAATCATTCTGATAGCATCTACTCTTGCTCAAGGAGATTAGGCTTTTAGCGTTGAAAGGAGACAGTAACCCCAAACACTAGACGCCAGAAACCTCAACAACAATCCGAACCCTTAGCGTCATAAAGCCTAAACCTATGCCCTAAAAACTACCCTAAGTCTCTTGGACCCTCAAAATGGGATCCCAAACCTTAGGCCCAAAGCCCAGACCTTCCCCCAGAAAGACCCAAACAGTCCTAGGAGCCTGGGGGTATGCACAAACAAAGATCCTAGAGTCTAGCACCTGCCACGCAAACTCTTAGACATCCTACACATTGCTTCTATAAATATCCTTTCAGACGCTTGTTGAGAGTTTGCTTTTTTGAGCAACGAAACCTGACCCCAAACCCTAAAAGTAGGTAAACCCTACTTGAAGGTTCATGTTGAGCGGGGCTGAGGTTGGGATACCATCCCCTAAACCCTAAACCCTATAGGCCCTAAACGCTAAACCCTTATTTGGACCCTCAAACCCTGAAACCTGGACCGTGCCATCACCCGCAAACCCAGAAACCTGAACCCCAAACGCTTACCAACTCTACTTGGAGGACAAGGGGGACTTAGTAAGTAGGCTAATAGGGAGGATAGGTAGGGTTACTATACGGATTATTGGGGTTCTACAACTATAACTATAACCCTAAACCCCAAACTCTGAATCCTACAGGCCAAACTCTAAACCCTGCATCCACAAAACTCTCAGTCCCCACACTCCAAAGCCTAAGCCCCAAACTCTAAAACCCTAAGCCCTAAACCCCCAAACTAAAAGCCCTAAACCCCAAACTCCAAACCCTAAACTCCAATCTCTAAAACCCTAGGCCCTAAACCACCAAACCCGCCTCTTTACCTGAGATGTCTTGGACATGAAGCAGGCACGGCATGGCAGCGGTTAAAAAGGAGCCGCTGTTTAGTGCTTAGGGTTGCGAGTTTAGGGCTTAGGGTTTAAGTTTAGGGTTTCAAGTTTAGGGTTGCGAGCTTAGAGTTTAGGGCTTCGAGTTTAGAGTTTAGGGTTAGAGCTAAAGTTTAGGGTTTAAGTTTAGGGTTTAGAGTTTAGGGTTTAAAGTTTAGGGCTTCGAATTTAGGATTTAGAGTTTGGGTCTAGAGCTTAGAGCTTTGGGTTTAGGGCTTGCTGTTTAGGATTTGGAGTTAAGGGTTTGGCTTGTGAAGTTTAGGGTGCGGACTTTTGTTTATGGTCTATATACACCCACCAAGATTCGGAAGGCTTCCTGTATACACCCACCAACAAAGCCTACTTATACAGATCCAGAACGGTGATTGAAGATTAAACGTTTAGGTTGCGCGGTAAGTTTTGCGTTTGTGTTTCAGGGTGAGCTTCATACAAATCTATACCAACCAGTGCGTAACGCATGCAACACGTGAATTAACTCACTTGTGGACTCTTTGTAGCATAAACCACGGTTTTGGATGATGGCCTTCAGCCTCAAGCCCATAGAGCCTAAAACCTATTTTGCTAATGTCTCGATCTGTCTATCTATCTATATATACATATATGCACACATATACATATATATATATACATGCATATACATAAACACGCATACATCGTATACACAGAGAATGGTTTCCATGGTCTTCTTTTCCATTTCCTACTACCCCCACCCACCCGCCTCCAAAACACCTGGTCGAATGTTGTTAGAAATCCTAGTAACCACCAAAATCCCAAAACTCTATCAACCCTACATCCTAAACCCGAAGCCCCCAACCCTAAACCCTAAACCCTAACCCCCTCAACCCTTAACCCCCTTTACCCCTAGATACGCCCGTGAGGGTAGAGCTGCTGGAGCATTCCCCTATAAGGGTCCAAGGACTCAAATAATCGGGCTTTATGGCCCAAATACCACTGACATTGTAGTATTTGGGCCTTGAAACCCTATTTGGGTCCTATACACCCCTGTATAATCCCCGAATATCTCTATATACTCCCCTGGAACCCCTTTTAAAGGGACCCTAGTCTTTGGGTCCTGGGACCCTTTAGGGTTCCAAGAGATGCTCGGGGCACTGCAGTCACCCCACTGCGTCCACGGAGTCAGTCGGCATACGTGCGGCCTTGGCAAAAGTATCGTAGGGCCCCTAAACCCTACACTAGGATAATGGAAAAGAAAATGGAAACTACTATGTTGGGCTATATAGGGATTACAGGGAATATATTGGGGTTATATTGGGATAATGGAAAAGAAAATTGAAACTACTGGGTTATAGGGTATATACTGGGGGTTATATTGGGATAATGGAAAAGAAAATGGAAACTACTATATAGTATATAGGGAGAATGGAAAGCGAATCGAAACCACTCTCTTCTGGTTTTGGGTTTACGGGTTTAGGGTTACATCAGGTTGAGGCCTTTTTTAGTACCCTAGAGAGTACCTGCAACATAATTCTACGAAGAAGCCACTCGGGGAACGTGGCAAACTTGAAGGCTCAGGGGACTGGGTAAGCAGGGCGCCCTTTA